GGCTCATACCCACTTCAGGCCCAATTCCTCATTATCATCAGCCACTCCATGAACAATGGGCACAAAAGTCCTTGTAAGTGTTTAGAGGATACCACGCTTCTTAGAAGAATGACAAAATAGCAAAGCGAATGCTGGCTTACTACCCTAAATTCTTTATAATGCCATAGTGGGCATCAAGCAAGTGTGCATGCTTGGAGCAGTTATCCAATGAGTGTTTAGAAAATGCTCTGAAAAACCGCTGTTATAGCTTTTTCTGTAACTGTGCTGCGCCTTCTGCACATGTCTGGCACTTTATTATTTTTTTCAGGAAGATCATAAATATACTGGCCTACGCAATGAGACCACCAGGTGAGATGTGATGCATAATAAAAAAAAACAGTAAAAATGACCAAAGCGTATGCACTTGCCTCAAGAGGACATCCGTAATAAAGGCAGCCATATTAAATTCTGATGCACAATTTTTTTATTGAGGTTCATCACACGCCCGCTGGAGTGATAAGGGAAAATGTCAAGACCTAACAAGAAATAATTATTGGAAAACAAGTTATAAATGCTACCGTACGAAAAAATACCTCAAATAGAGGTTCCTAAAAAATCAACAAAAATATTTCACACTTGTGTAGCGCACAGACTAGATCATTAGGAAGACTCAAATTCTGAATAATTGTTGCTACTTCAATTGTGACCTTACTACTATGTGCCTTTTCAGAAGCGGCAAATTATAATTTTTTTTTCTTGCTTGTTTTGCAGCATCAGTGCCATAACGCGACACTTTCGCGCTGCAGTGGGGATCATTAGTGATGAACGCTTTTCCGATGCTAGGACCAGGCTCGATGGAAGTTAGCCAAAGAATACGAAATGCGCTTCTGTTTCCAATAATAAAATGCTTCACAACGGTAAAAAAGGCAAATTTGATTATTTATATGCTCACCTTTGTGTCCTGATATGTGGGGTTTAACGTCCTAAAACCACCATATGACTATGAAAACGCCGTAGAGAAGAGCTACAGAAATTTCGACCGTCTGGGGTTCTTCAACGCGCACCGAAATCTGAGCACACAGACCTACAACATTTTTGCGTCTATTGAAATTGCAGCCGCCGACGCAGAGATTCCATCCCACGACCTGCACCGAGTACCTAAGCCACTAGAACTGCGTGGCGTGGCCTCGTACGTCTCCTCGAGCGTAAAGAAAACATGTACCACTTGACGCGTTCACCTAGTGAGAAGTTTATGACTTTGTGATTGAAAACGATGTGTTCATGATGATTGTAAAGCATTATGACGTATTTTCACTTCATATGATATCTAAATAACCAACAAAATACTACACATCAGGCTAACTTTATGATGCTCACAAAACTAGCACTCGAAGTTTCGGTTCCGTAGTGGGAGGGTGTTTTTTTTTTTTTGCTTCTATTTTGAAAGAGCCGGCATACAGCAAAGCTTCATGCAGCAAAATGATGGGCGATGAATTGCGCATTTGACGTAACCAAAACCAAAAAATTGACATTTTGAGAAAGAATTCACTTCTTACATTTCGTCGCTTATTTTAAGTTGTTGCAGAGCAAATTCGAAAAGGAGGGTGAGAGCACATAACGAAAGTGTTTGGCTGGTCATAATATGGGTAACGTGAAAATTCTATCACGTAAGTCATAAAATTCTTTCCTACACATGGTCGTGGGATGCGGGTATGAGCCACAAGTAAGTGGCACTTTAGATATATTGAAGAATAGAGATAACAGACCTATTTGTAATTTAAATGCAGACGCGTTAAGTGGGTGAGTATGAACTTTATTGAGGTCCGAGGAGAAAGAAAGAGGTGCCGAAAGGCCCCCCAGTCAATCCATCGGCTCCAACCAAGCGAAAATTCGCAGAGGCAACGTTGACCCGATCGCAGCCTCTATGACCCGACGAACTCAAACAACGAACATCAGGGCTCCATGAGGAATCGAGATCAAGAATGGTGCGTGGCAGTAAAGTATTCTACCACAGAGTGGCACCAGGTTTCCGAACTCTGTTGTAAATATACTATATTCAGGTGTACTGGTGGTGAAGTGTCACTTGTGGTTGCGGTACTGGCTATTTAATTTATGTAAACATCACATATGAACTCCTATGATACAAGCGTTACGCCGGGTCAATGTCACTTGTTTACGTAAGCACCAAGTACTGGTGTTTCTCCGTAGAAATGACCCGCGCTCCCATCATCGCAACCACAAGCGCTACGTATCACACTACCGCTTTAGCTATAGGCATCTGGCATTGTAGTTTACGAGATTTGATAGTAGCGCCAGAACACACAGTCTAGCGAGTAGGCGCCGCAAAACCGAGTCTTCCAAAGCCTATAGCCTAGCGAGTAGACGCAGCAAAACCGGACTTGCCCATGCGTATTATTTTCTTCAGTTATGAGCAGGGGAGGGGGGGGTGACGGCTGATTATGTGAGTGCCCAGAAAGCCTTCTATTAAAGCGTGCCAAAAAGGGCACTGACACTTCAATGCCTCAATGCGTTCAGCAAGAGTTTTTTTTTTTTTTTGGTATTCCTGGCGGATGGTACCAACATTGCTGAGGCAGCCCAAAATAAGGTCCCTAGATGAAACAAGCTTCCAAGGTAGCGTCACTCATTGTTCTCGATGCCGTCCTCCTCGCTCTCTCGCTTACATATCCTTTTCTCTGCCATCCACGCCTGTAATTGGTTCATTCCTTGCACGTAATCTAGCAAATGGCTAGTGGTGTTATTTATTAGTATGCAAAAGGTTTAAAACGAGTACGCATGCGCATATGGCTCAAGCCAGATTCTTATCGTGATCAAAGACAAAATCGTAGCCAGGACATAGGCTGAATGATGTTGGCCCTGTCGGCCAACATTGTTTCACGGGCTCGCGCAATGCAATAGCTGAGTTTTTTTTATTGCTGGGTTGCGGTAAAACAACAAAAAACGGGTTCATTCTCTTCAACTGGCCTTGTGCTATCTGAAATAAAGCATGCCGTGAAGTGTACCTATGAAACATTTCACGCGAACGCTTTCGTGCAAATCCGTCAACGTACGTCGACGCGCATCTGCAAAGCCAGTTTATTTGTCAGTTTTTATTGAAACGCCAGGAGCGCGTCTAATGTGCATCTAGTGCATGCCAGTTGATACAAAGTTTTGTGCATATGCACGTATACAGGCGCAGCAGCTAAAACGAGTAATTGACGAGCCTTCAGGAACATCTCATGCTTGACCAATTGACGAAAACGCGACACAAAGGAGCTGAAACGCGCTGCTTCAGCACACCCCACCAGTAGAACTCTCACTTCTGAAGAAGATCCGAGCACCGCACCAGAATCAACAGGCATCACGATTGTCAAAATGAGCACAATAAAAAAAAACATCATCGCATTGCTGCTAATCAAGCTTCGTACCAGTCTGGCCATGGTTTTCTCTTGCATGTGCACAAGCAGGCTGTATTCACTCGTCATAACGTCACGCCCTGTAGTTACTGACACGATCCAGTGAGAAGCACGTTCACTTTGTCTCAGCACTATCAAAACACATTCAGAGAACTGGACAAGTTATAACTCGACGAACTACGATGCACGACGCTAGACGCCATGGCTAGTGGTGTAAATTATTAAACGGCACAACGTTTCCAGTCAAGTAACACACATCTCACTTGCTGTTGTGTTGTACCGTTTATGTTCTTAAAGGTAACCGATTATTCTAGAACTCATTTGATTTCGACTATGTTGTTTCATTTACATCTATTCACCGTAGCAACTGAACCGAAACATTCGCTTTTTGATGAAAGTTTTGAACCTTCTAGGGGGCGCTTCATGAAGATAGGCGAGGAGGAAAGGGAAAGGTGTCACTACCTTGAAAAAAAAAGTTTCACCTTAGCCCAAAAACCTTAGCCCAAAAAGCTTCGTCGTGCTATAGTATATTTCTAGACACTGTCGGGTGCCTATTGGTTGTATCTATTTTTTGCTGTTTACATGGTTATGCAACTGCAAACAATCGATTGAATAAGATATATAGATATATGTCGCTGTTCAACATAGGGCTGTGAGTAAAATACTTAGACATATCATTAGCGTCAATTTCCAGCATTTTGCTTAATAAATAATTATTCTACGGCCAGCTACCCACCGCGTTCTTCGCAAAATATCTATTCGGATACTATGTAGGGTATGCCGATTTGTCAAAGAAATGATTATTTCTTAGTTAAAACAGCAAATACTGCAAAATCAATTTAAACGCCCATGCTTCTAAAAGTTATCGTTAGAAACACTTTCAGAAACTTTTTTTCATGAGTGCACTTCACGCTAAGTGGAACGACAAAAAATCGAAGCTGTCTCTAGTTAGGAGACGCCGCCCAACTTTGTCAACCGCTCTTGATGAGGCGCTGTGTTCTCTCATAACAAGTGGAACGCAGCACGCCGACGGGTGAATTTTAGTTTTTAAAACTGTTGGTGCATTGAAAAGGCCAGAGCTCGGAAAAAATGCGAGCTTCGCCAAGCTTGGGCGATCCTGCAGATCACCCCTAAGGTATTAGTTTATTTATTTAACATACCGATAGAGGCAAAATTGCGCTACAGAGACAAGCGATTACCATAAAAACTTTTGCTCAACGAACTAGAGTTAATGAAGCCAAGCAATATATTTAAAAAACAGATGACGCCTACAAATAAAATGTTAGCTATGACATGCACATATTCCCGTTGGTTAAGGTAAGGAAAAGGTTCTTATGAATATAAAATGTTATAAACGAACTTTCATTACCATATATAATAATGTTATTTTTCATTATTATGATCAGCTATTGTGACTAACGGTTCAGGAAGGTGACCACCCATAAAAAGTAGTTTAATCTACAACCAAATCTTTTTAATATTTTCAATGCTTCTCAATGTCCCGACGTTTTTATGTTCTTCACAGGCCTTTTTTTTTCGGTATTCAGAGCGTCTGAGGACAGCAACGCTTACAATATTATACAGTTATTGTTCATCGACACACACGCATTAAATTTCGCAGGTGCTCGTCGCTAGCCTTGACAAGACATACAGAGTAGCAATTTTTCTAGCACACACAACTCCAGGGGCCTGTTCGAAGCGTCATTCATTCACTCATTCATTTTATTACCTCAAAGGTCCCGGTTGGGATATTACATGAGGGAGTGGGTATTACAAAGGCTAACAATATAATGGCAGTTATGATAGGATAGTTTCGATGAGCCGTTTAAATGCTTGGGTGTCGATGATGGTGGCGACTTCGGTGGGCAGGTCATTCCAGTCTTGGGCTGTGCGCAGGAAAAACGATTGCTGAAAGGTCACAGTATGGGCTTGTGGTAAATATACTGCGTTACAGTGACTGATGCGGGAAATGCGGTGGGCTCTTCTGATGTATGGGTTATCTAAGGGCAAAGAATGGAAGAATTTATTATAAAGGTTATGGCGTGCGATTTTGCGGCGCTTAGCCAGATCGGATAAGTTAATCTCTGCTTTCAGTACCGAGATGCTTGATGTGTATGAATAGTTAGATAGTATAAACCGTGCCGCACGGTTCTGGACAGATTCGAGGGCGTAAGTGAGGTTAATGTGGTGAGGGTCGAAAATCGCGCTAGCATATTCTAGGTTTGGCCGGACAAAGGTTTGCAGTGTTTGCGTCAACAGTGCAAACAGACAGAGCTTTCTGGTGGTGTTTGACTTTCGGCAACAATACGAAGAATGCAGGATGATTATGGGGCACTACGCGCTTTTTACCCACTTAATTAGTGGGAATGAGAATGTTATCCTGGAGAAAAAAAATTGGATATAGGTGGCGGCTTCTTTTCGAATTTCGGCACAGTAAGCGGGTGATAATAATTTGAACCAATCCACAAGGACAGCTACCTTTATCTATTGCCAAGGCCTACATTAATTAAGTGTATTTGAACCTTGCTTGAAAACTATTAAATAACTAAAAACGCCTACAGGCGCTGGTTACGTTAGATTTTCTCATCACTGAAGAACAACAGCGTGAGGGTTTGAAATATTTGGAGCTGGAGAATACTTTGTTGGACTTCTCATTTCCCTTACACTCAGCGGGGATCTGACTGGTGTATGCGTACAGTACGGTTGCTTTTTGTCTGGGAGTCCCACTACAACATGCACACATTCCACGAGCGTGTCTTTCACTGTTTCAAAGGTTCCTCTTGTTTCCTCGTGTTATGGATTTCTGCATAAACAGCAAGCTAATGGGGAATGTTTTCTGAGAGTGTGTGACAATGATGTCATAATTGAACGCAACGCGTCCAGCTGTTGTGCCCGATACCTCGTAAATCGTGGATTTGAAGGCGTCAACAAAATCATTTTGTTTTTCTTCAGGAATCTTGGCATTCATTTTGAACAAGGGCACGTACAAATCTGCAGAAAAAAATAAACAAAGCAGAGTCATGCGTGGGAGAATCTAATGAACAGAGTGAGCACTAGTAAGCAGCAAAACAAAACAATCATTGTTTCAATCTTAGAATTGTCACACAACAACGCAATATACCGAAGGTGGCCCACAGTGACAGGCTCCAGTAATACCTTCTGTACTTGTACTAAAGAAATAGCAAGTTTTTAAGGAAGCCCCTGAAACACAAAAGTAATCGTCTCTACGCCAAATGGTTTGTCTTCTTTGTCGAAAATAAAGATCACGCAGAGAAATCAGGCAATACATGAAAGGAAAACCTGATAACATATATTCTATTTTGAATAAACAAAGGCCAACCCGCCCACTGTCTATTGTTTTATAGCTTCAATGCTATGCTAATAAATGGAAACTATATTGAATAACCGGCCTCGTGTTAACGACGCGTGTTCGCACGTCTTTGGTGTAAGCCAGTGTAAAGAATTGATTACTCTTGCCGAGCTCTTGCCGAGCTCTTGCTCTTGCCGAGCTCTAGACAAGGAGAGCAGAAAGGTGGGTCTTAAAATTAATCTTCAGAAAACGAAAGTAATGTACAACAACCTCGGCAAGGAGCAGCGCTTCGAGATAGGTAATAGTGCACTTGAAGTTGTAAAAGACTATGTCTACTTAGGGCAGGTAATAACCGCAGAGCCGAACCACGAGATTGAAGTAACTAGAAGAATAAGAATGAAGTGGAGTACAATCGGCAAGCACTCTCAAATTATGACAGGTAGATTGCCACTATCCCTCAAGAGTAAGGTATATAACAGCTGTATCTTGCCGGTACTTAGCTACGGAGCAGAAACCTGGAGACTTACAAAGAGGGTTCAGCTTAAATTGAGGACGACGCAGCGAGCAATGGAAAGAAAAATGGTAGGTGTAACCTTAAAAGACAAGAAGAGAGCAGAATGGATTAGGGAACAAACGGGGCTTAAGGATATCATAGCTGAAATCAAGAAGAAGAAATGGACATGGGCAGGGCATGTAGCGCGTAGACAGGATAACCGCTGGTCATTAAGGGTAACTGACTGGATTCCCAGAGAAGGGAAGCGGGTTAGAGGGAGACAGAAGATTAGGTGGGCAGATGAGATTAAGAAATTTGCGGGTATAAATTGGCAGCAGCAAGCACAGGACCGGGTTAACTGGCGGAACATGGGAGAGGCCTTTGTCCTGCAGTGAACGTAGTCAGGCTGATGATGATGATGATGATGATGCCGAGCTCTTGCCTGAGATCTTGCTTCTGATATCTCAGGAATAAATACCTAAGAGAACCAGGAAGAATAGCCATCGGCAATCGTTACATCGACTCAACAACCAGCAAAAACTTTCAAAAACATTAGTAGAGTTTAGCAAGAAATCAATTTCTTATAATGAGCATTTTCTTACGAATCTTTTGTAGCAGCATGGGTAGATTAAAAGACAACTAGTGTGAGGGGGAAGATATCTACGTCATGTGAATCGGTGCCATTCGAAATAGAAACGCGTTTCAGTCAAGTTGCTCATTATTTATTGAACATGAATATGAGGAGAGCTTTCAAAGTGACTTTTGAGCACCAAATGCCAGTGGCACCTTTACATACTGACCAAAACGGGAAAGATCGTGAGTAAACCTTTGGCGTAGTAGCAGTAGTTAACATATACGCCTGGACGCCATATATCCTATAGTGAATCCTGCACAAGGATGGCACCAAAAGCACATAGAACTTACGGGGTTGGTTGGTTTGGTTTGTGGGGTTTAACGTCCCAAAAGAGAACTTACAGGGTGTTTACGGTAATCGCCTAAGATGACTCAAAGGCCAAAGCCATTTTAACTGGGTAGCGTGAAAGAGCTAGCTTCGGAGAAACTCAGGTGTCGGCGTTGGTGTCGGGGCCGATGAAGACGTCGTTGGTTGTGAGTGAAAAATGAACATCTTGTGTGCAACAGAGAAATAGAGAAAGATAAACATAAAGTAAGTAATAAAGAATTCTGGGTTCGAGTGTGCATCAAACCCGGGCCTTTTTTCATGGCAAGCGGGTGTTCTACCAAACTGCCATACGTATGTTGTGAATGAAGGGAAAAAATACATTTCCTACCTTCGAAATGCAGTGAAAGAAACTTTCGTGCTTTACAAACACACGCGTCCTGTACACACGCTTCCCAACACAACATGAAATATTCCATTAATAATACTTGCTAGAAGCCTACATTGTCATCGGGCACCTGAATGTGTGATCGTCTTAATGATGTCATAGTTGAAAGCCGGTCACTCACGACAAAAAACGCACACGTTACTGTACTTATCCGACATGAAGGGTGCAAAGCAAGTTCGAAGAGATTTCATGGACTGGAAGCTTTAGGTACCAAGTAGAGACAGGATATCGCTATTGCGTTTAACTATTCTTCTTCTTCTCCTGTTCTCATAACTCATACCTGATTGAGGGCATTCGCAGAGAATTAAGTGCTGTTTTTTTCACTGTCTCTTCACAATACTTCTTTTATAAGCTAGGAAAAGTTAATACCGCAAACTTAAGTACGGAATATTAGTACTAAAATGTTTGAAAGGTTGACGAACTTAGCTCCATATTCTTTAAGACTGACTGATAAATTCATCTATGGCGTAGTAAACCTCCACCTGACTGTAGCCCAGAGTAGAAGCGCCAAGTGATAGAACAACAGATTCGGATACTTCCAGACCCAAGTTTTGAAGAGTTAGTGCTAGGAATCTTCTTCTCAATGAGGTATACCGGTGACAGGATAGAAAGTAATGAATAATTCTTTTCTCCTTCTTACAAAAAGACAGAGGAAACACCACTCGACTTGCTCTATGCAGGTAAAAGTTGAGGGATGTAACGCAGCAGCGAAGTTTAGTTATAGCCAATTCCACTATTTTCGACCACGATAGCTCACTGATCCGGGGATATAAGAGGTGCTTGTATTCTGTAGAAGCTGTCAGACAGGGTCTGATAAGCATTTTTTAGTTTTAGCGTGCCTAATCATGCAATTTTAATGTATGCTGTCAATAGGAAAACCCGAATGATTGGCACCGAAAGCACCACCTTTGCTAAAGAATCAGTGCTTTCATTTCAAAACAAATCCTTATGTTCTGGTACCCAATTTATGTGAAGACATTGAAGGTGCGCGAAAACTAGTATTCTTAAAAGCTTTAGTAGAGGCGTTTTGTCAGATGTGGAAAGAGAACAACGCATAGATAAAGAGTCAGTGATAATTGCTACTACTGTAATTGAACTGCTTATATTTTGGAGATAATATTCTGACCATAAATTCTACCATAAAAACTGAGACAAAATCAGGCTGTCGTACAGAAAAAGACCACTCAAGTTGAGGGCAGGAGGGCAGTTGAGGGCATTTCTATGCCAGTTTTTCCTCAGTTTGCGATGAATCCGCTGCAATAACCCCATTCATTGGCAGAATATTTAGATGCTGTTTAAGAGTTGGTGTAAAATTCCATGAGGAAATAATTTGGCATGGTTGGGAAAAATATCGTGGTAGGCAGTGTCTATGAATTTAGGTTTCATCGTTAAAGAATGCCCATCACGAATTTGTACATCTAGGGAGTCGAGTAATGTTTCTACAGATATGATTTGTGGCTGGCGGACTCTAGGACAATGCTCGGAGAAACATAAATTGGTAATGGAGATCTAAATTTTTGGAGTGCATTTAGACATTGATTCAATTCTTAAAGGCAAAGCTTAAAGTAGGTAGGCAATAAACTTTATTAAGGATTCAACGACGAATCACTGGCCCTGTCTAGGCCGTGAGGAGCCGTCATCCACGGAGCGTCATGTGATCTCCTCGGCGATAGCTCTGGCTCACTGGAAAGCCCAGATTTGGTCTACTGCAAAGCTTGAGGATTCCCTTTTTTTACCTCTCCATCAGTTTATTTGCTGGAAATTACGATGAAGAAAAAAGTCGCTGCATTCACAAATGGCGCTTCCTCGATATACGTTCAGCCTTGCCGATTTCAGCAGCAGGTCAACGATGACTTTTCTACGATATTAATGGCTTCAAGTTCTTGACCAAAGATTTATCTCCAATATTGATCCACCAACGCATTCGTCCGAAACACTTCTGCCCTTAATCTGGTTATGGACTCTATCCAGGATCACCGGAGTAAGAACGTGAAGAATGAATCAGACTTAGGCATGCTGTTTAACAAATATTTCAGCAGATTGTGATAAATAGGCTGAGTACAATGTCAGCTCGTTGCTTTCTTAACTAATTTTTCGAAGGATGGTAGACGTCTTGAAATCACTGGATATAATCAGTTATAGAAGAAAGTGAACAAATTTTAATGTTTCGCTGAGGCAGGTATTGATGGCTGAGTCAAATGAAAGGCCTTTCCCGTCTCTTTTAAATGTCCAAAAAGTGAGAGCTGTTCATATTAGCACATAGCCTGAATATCAATATTCTGCCATCGAAAAAGAAACAGAAGCGTGGAAGGCGGTACCACAATATCTTGCAATTCATCACACTCAATGAGCCGGGACTTCAACTTCCGATCGGCTTCACGAACGCTGAACAACTAACAACAATGTAAACGTTGTCATGAACACTGACATCTTTCTGATCGTCTGCTACTTGCGCTCGTTGGCATATCGGTGTCTTCTTTGCGGGTGAGTTTTCTTCTGAATTCTTTACTGCTGAACAGATACCAGAGGTCGTTTGACGTTAAACCCCACAAATCAATCATTGACCGAAATCTAAAAATTTTCGTGGACTCTCTGTAGGAAGAACTTCATTTATTTCGTTGGGACACCAGTGCCTGTAACGACCGGTTAGAAAGTTAACCCATAATTTATTTGATCATTGTTCTAACTACGACCATCTTAGGCGTCTACCACTAGAAAAAAAAAAACACCAGGCCTGCGCGGAAGCCCTAGCACAGTCACAGCAAAAACTAGAAGAGTGGCTTTTCAGAGCCTTTTCTAAACACTCATTGGGTAACTACTACAAGCACACTTGCTTGGTACCTACTAGGCCATTATTAATAAATTTATTTGGGTTGTAGGCCGGCAATAACTATGCTATTTTTCGTCATTCTTCTCGGAAGTGTGGTATCCAATAAACACTTGCCAGAAATTTTGTGCCAATTGTTCATGCAGCAGCTGGCGACGATGAGGAATTATGGCTGAAGGAATTATGGCGCCACAGGTAATAAGGGAACAAGAACAAGCTTTTGTGGTGGGTTGGAGTATTGGACGGCCCACTCGTTACGCTATTCGCATTATGCGACGACTGGTTGTTCTTTCGCTGCTTTAAGACGCTTTATAAGTCGTGTGAACGCGATTGCTTTCCCGACATCAAACCTACCTAAGGCAAGTTTGATGAAAAGTTACAAGCACCGGCGTAACTCAGTGGTAGAATACTATGCTGACAACTAGCGAACCCTGGTTCTATCCCCACTGTGTCATTGGTGCTAGGTTTGTTTTCCGATATCGCGTGAGGTGGTTACGGACACCGGCGGCGGCGGTGGACAACTGCGCGTGACCCGAGTTGTGGTCTCATAACAGCTTTTGCTGTAAAAGTAATTAGGTAGGGAGCTAATATTGAATGTTGGCCATTTTGAGGATTTTCGAAAACAATTATTGAAACCTTTATAGCATAGATTTGCAAATCGGCACAGGGGCCTATAGCTGCCATTTCCGTGTTGTACCTCTGTGCATGCTGAACTCCTTGTTATCTGGGAAGGGTCTGTAAGCCTTTATTACACTATAAAGAAGCCAGTCTGTGATTACCTTGACGCATACTTGTGTGCAGGTATTGCGAAGCAGAACATTTCAGAAAGCTAGATGGAGAAAAGATGGGTGGAGTTTACAAGACTCTCAAGCATTTTGATTGAGTTGTGAGTGTGAAATTACATTGTGCAGTTCAAACGTTGAAGCCGCAGCGCTACCTATGTCTTTTCTGTGCGACCATAAACCGAGGAAGTCACAGCGGTCACCAAATCTTGCAGCTTTGTGGAGTATTCAGGGGGCAGTACACTGGGCCCATGAATCCCCTCTCCCACCAAAATGTTTTTGTCATGGAATACAGAATGCTAAATAACCATTTGCCCACCCGGTCCCACTTAACGTCACAGAAGTACCCCCTTTTTTCCCTAAAAAGAAATCCCAGAATATCCATGGAGTGAATGATGATGAGTGGAGTGAAGCGTCTATCAGCCCATCCGTGCTTCCGTCCGTCCGCGTCACCATCCGCGCGTCCATCCATGCATCCGTTCATCTGTCCATGCGTCCATCCGTCCGTACAGCCCCGCCGCGGTGCTCTAGTGGCTAAGGTACTCGGCTGCTGACCCACAGGTCACGGGTTTCGAATCCCGGCTGCGGCGGCTGCATTTCCGATGGAGGCGGAAGTTTTGTAGGCCCGTGTGCTCAGATTTGGGTGCACGTTGAAGAACACCAGGTGGTCGAAATTTCCGGAGCCCTCCTCTACGGCGTCTCTCATAAATCATATGGTGGTTTCGGGACGTTAAACCCCACATATCAATCAATCAATCAATCATCCGTCCGTACATGCACGCGTCCGTCCGTCTTCTAGCCTTTCCGTCCGTGCGTCCATGTAGTGAACACTCCAATTACCATCATCTCGCATCTCGCATCCCCTGTGGCACAAACCCGCTCCACGCGTCCATCCATTCTTTCATTCATCTGATAGTCTGTCCGTTCGTTCATGAGCCCGTCCGAGCGTCTATCTAGTGAACACTCTAAGTACCGCCATTTCCCATCTCGCATCCCCTGTGGCACATACCCGTACTAGAGGGGGTATGTGCCACCTGTGGCTACGTACAACAAAGGATGGACAGACCCACGCCTTAAGGATCTTCGCCCCTAAAAATGCTGACTTCACCTCTCCTGAAGCTCGTGCAGAATCAAGGCAAGAAAAACGCTTCTTGTATAAAAGGCTTGTGCTCTGTGCTTATTTACATCACGCTGCATCGACCAAACAATCATCGCCTAACGCGGTGTGGCAAGAGCAGCGTCGTCCAAATTTTGGTTCAAGCAGCACGATGTCGTAAAGCAGCACGTACAGACCTGGTGTCTAAAAAATAGTTTGTTCAGCGCAGGACCTAAGACAACCGGCTTTTATTGTTCGGCCTCACATTCAAAACTGGATACTCTAAATTAGAAACTTCAATGTCAGGTCTTTCAAATTTAGTATGTTTTTACGCATTAACTGTCACTCGTAAAACAATCACTCGCTAACGGCGTTTTCATGTAGAGACATGCCTCATGAGACCATGCATGGTGTACCACGGGTCATTTTCATGCTACACGTATTGTAACTCTAATGTTCTTCCCGTTTAATTGGTTCAGCTCTCTCGTGGACGGCGATATATCAGACAACATGTCAAATATGCGAATCCTGAAAACTCACCAACACATGCGTTCACACTAGGGAGAATCCATTGGCTTCTGTAAGCTCTGCAGGATATTAAATTCAGCCCAGCGTAAGTCAAAGCCTTTTTCTCACGTTCCATCAACTCCTCTTCATCCACTGGACTGTCGAAGCAGAACCTTTCTGCGAAGGCTGCTCTCAAGTCCTGCGCAATTTGGATAGAACATTGTAGCAGAAATGGTAGGCGCAAACACCAATTACACCTTGAATGAAGAGTATGCAATGAGAAGAGAAAAAAATAAGTGAAGGACAGCTATTCGTTGATCAGCGAATATTCTGTTAGCACAATTTATTTAATCATTGCAGTTGCAGTTGCCCAGCACGTCGCGACCATGACTTGTACTCGAATGCGCATACTGAAACCCAAAATAAAGCAGACAGTCTAGCATTAGTGGTACTTTTTAGACCCTAATTGTGCAATGATTCTTCAATTTCACAAGGACAATAAGAGAATATAACCAGCACTTCACTATATTCTCAGGGCAAAGCAGTCTACGGTGCTACGTAGATTTCAGACTAATATACAAAACTTTTTCAGGCTTCACTTGTTCTAGCTTACAATATGCAAAACATATTGTTGCAGGCCTACCACAGCTTGGCTGGACGTTGGGTGGGAGTGTACACTACTATATGAACAGCATCACAGCGTCGGCAGCACAAAGGAACCATTGGAGGCCATGCTGTCGAGCTAATCTTTTGATGATCGCCTTTACTGGTCTAAAAAATAGTGATGGGGACGTGGGCCCGCGGAGTCCAGGAATGGAGCCCCGACTATTTTCAGTAGTCTGACGTACATAATTATAAAAAGTTTTTGTTCCGCCCGTTCTACTGTGTTTAGAAAGAAGCTCGTGGTAATTCCAGGCTTAGTACAATACCCTTTGAAAAAAAAAACGCTGGCAAGACGTTTTTTTTTTCTAAGAAGAAGTATTACTGCCCCGCCACGGTGGTCTAGTGGCTAAGATACTCGGCTGCTGATCCGCCGGTAGCGGGATCGAATCCCGGCTGTGGCAGCTGCATTTCCGATGGAAACGGAAATGTTGTAGGCCCATGTGCTCACATTTGGGCGCACGTAAAGAACCCTAAGTGGTCTAAATTTCCGGAGCCCTCCACTACGGCATCTCTCATAATCATAAGGTGGTTTTGGGACGTTAAACCCCACATATCAATCAAGAACAAGTTTTCCTGTATAGCCATGAGGAGCTGAATTTGATAATTATCACAACCTTGGGCATATATACTGAATCATTTCACAGCGAATACCACTGTGAAGTATATCTTAATGCATATTTTGTGGATACCTGAGGTGATGTTTACGACACGCGCCTATCAAAATGCACAACACGTGTCTATTGAATCAAAATGAAAAGATGGGGAAAATAATTTGAGTAGTTCCAGCAATTCAGTCTCGACTTTTTTTGCTAAAAGCTGAAAACCTAAGTAAGTAAATAAGCTAAAAACCCAGGTGTGCGTCCCAGTGTGAGCAAAATTTTTTGAGGGCGCATTTTGAGTCTGGCAAAGGACAAAGCACAGTGTATTGACACTATGTGAGAGAGAACAGGGTGCACAGAATGAGACGCTAATGAATAAACTAATCAGACTGCACCCCCCGCCTTCAAAAAAAAAAGCAGTAGTAGCGGCTAAACAGTCTCGCGCTCAAGGGCCATGGGTAACTCAGCGAGACTGTGGGATGATTATTAGCCACACATTCTGAAATTATTCAGTGTTCTTTCACGCCTAGCGACGCAAATGTAATGTATCTCACAGCTGACTAAGACAATACGAATATAACATAATCACGTGGTTTGTTGCCACATCTGCAGTAAAGACTTCATCCGCAAAGCGCGTTGGGCAAGCATGAACACATCTTATGTAGGCTTCTGTGGTAGCTCTCACAGGGCTTTCTCCACATGCGAAGGACCACCTGTCTTCAGAGAACAAAACATTGTTCACAAAGACCCTTACTCTTACAAAGTGAAGGAAAGGCACTTGCTTTGGACAGGAAATTGAGCGCTCGAGGGTATAGAATGTGTGGTGATTGCAAGTTGCATCGGATTATTAAATCAGGACTAACGTATTGTAGCATGGTCGCTTGGTTTATATGAACACTCGTTCTTGACATTTTTTTTCACTTTCATCTTTTCATCAATGTCATGCCTATTTCTGTCGAGGCAAAGCGCAATGCTAGCTGGATATATCCATCCGCGATACATAACGTCAGAAGCCTCCGGAAATGACTCCAGCTTACTTCGGCTAGGTCCAGTTATGTAAGTGAAAGTTTATTCACTTGATTAGACATGTTTGCCACTGTTGCCGAGCAACAGCTTGCTGACTGAACGATGTGGCTAGTCGGATGTCCATACTGCGTGCACTCACTACCATAGGTCGGCAAAACTTGCGGAGCTTACTCAGACTCACTCATGAAATATATTTTGAGCTTTAGACTAACTCGAACTCAGGATCACGAGAGTTTACCTAAAACAGACTCACTCCGACTAACACTGCCGAAAATGTCCTTCAACCGGACACACTCGGTTCGGACTGACCAAAACATTGCTCACCCGTACTCAATCATACTCAGATTCATGGCTTAATCATGGTCTGAGTTAGTCTGAAAGCGTAAACTGATGAGTTCGTTAGCCTATATTTACCTTTTTCGACCACAGTGTCAATGAAATTTGGCCCCGATATCTCACGTAATCGGTGCTATTATTTTTATGCCGTTTAACGTAACACAATTGAAAACCAGTTCTGAGTGCTTCCAGACGAGTAAGGTCATTTTTGCTTGGAAGAGATTAAAGCATTAGATACTAAATTCAAAAACATTCCTGGAAGCGTGCGTGGGGGGAGGTCAAAGCACTCGCCTACGTAATTTATGCATCTAATTAAGAAACACTGAAATTGTGTATGAACGACCCTGGTATATATAGAAGTCAGTAACGTAATTTTTTTTTAAGTTTACGTAGCTATTGCCGCACATGCAAGCAAGGCGTACATTTCCACCCGTGAAGCAGTCGCTGTCATCTTTTCGCATTATTTTTGTGATGTCTAGCTTACATGAATTTCAGACAAGCCCAGCCGTGGTGGTCTAGTGGTTGTGGCTCTCGTCTGCTAACCCGAAGGTCGGGGAATCCAATCACGCCAGCGGAAGTGGCACTTTCGATCGAGGTAAAAATTTTGAGGCCTCTGTACGTAGATTTTTGTGGGTGTTAAAGGAAACCAATTGGCCGAAATTTCCAAAGCTCTCCACTACAGCCTCTCGCATCAACATTTTGTGCTTTTGAAACGATAAACTCTGAATAATATTAATGCGATAGCATTAAAAAGCTCGTTTCGAAGAAATTCCAGGATCCGTGTCGGCATCACTGGTTGGGAGCAAAAACTCATAATCTTTGCATGACCGCAAAATGAGGAACGAGGCAAATGAAGAAACAAATTATCTGGGCCTGAAAGGGATTGAACCCTCGTCACTTGGGCGGCAAGTGGGTGTTCTACCACATAGACACGCGCCTAGTTCGGAACGCATGAAAATGACTTCCTCTGCTTGGAATTCCAGTGAAAGTAATTTGCATGCTTTACGAACGCATGCGTCTTGTATATATGCTTCACATCGTAACACGTACTACTGAAGTAATAACACGTGGTACAAGCATACATTGCGATCGGGCGTCAGGTCATGTGATTATCATGGCTTCAAGCTTCAAAGCAGTCCACCTACTAATAAAGCGACACATGTTACTTCGCCTTTTCCCTTATTGGGCCACTCACCAGGTTTGACAATTTTGATCTGACAAGAGCAATGCGTGGACGAGGCGTTCATGATCCCGTCTGCCAAAATTTGCAATGCTACGCGCCGCGGAAACGGGTCTAATTTTAAGATGAACGCCGCTACCCCTCCTTTCTGCTGGCGCTCGCCCAGAGAATGGAGGCATGCATGACGTGCACGTATGAATGGCCCTATTTACATGGCAATGAAGTGATGTTGGTCCTCTACATAGACGACTCTGCTCTGGCGTTGCAAACAGTGGCACGTGACATGGCAAAAATTATTTAACACGGCATGCGTAGTTTATGTAATTTAATGCTTGAAGAGATCAATAAAGCTCTAGATAAATAATGCGACGCAATAGGAGAATGTCAGCGTCTTTTCCATTATTCTCTCGTCAATTGCAACGAGATGCGGAGCTAATGTGTCGGCGTGTCGCATGCGTTCGTGTAACCGCGCGGTCAGCGCATCGAGCAGACGACCACCGTGGAGCGCTCCTACACGTTCGCACACTCACTGTGATCATCTATTCTACCACGCCTAAAAGCCGTTTCACATGACACAAGGAAGGAAGGAAAATAGAGGGAAAAGAAAAGCAAGGAGGTTAACCAGCCTATAGGCAGCCGGTTTGCTACCCTGCGCATGGGAGAGGGATGGGGAGATGAAAGAGAGCGGAGAGGGAAGATAGAAACAGCACAATCGGCAGCACACGCGCGCACAATCAGCCATAGTCCAGTCTTGTCTTTCGCGGTGTGTGACATTGCTGTTACAGTCGCTTGTTCAAGTCGGTGTCGCGTAGGAATTTCAACAGAGCCTTCGTCGCTTTCTGTTGCAAGGTCTTCTCTCGGGCACTTGATAGAATAGTGTCCACAGACATTTGGCTGTTGTCGATGCGCGCAAAAGCAGACGCCAGTGACTGTCTCTGGATTTCATACAATGGACAGTCACACAGGATGTGGTGTAGCATCTCTTCGCAATGACAGGCATCGCAGAGAGCGTTGTCGGCCATTCCTATGACAAAGGAGTAAGATTTTGTAAATGCCACTCCCAGCCATAAGCGATAAAGAAGGGTGGCTTCTCTTCGGTCGAGTCCAGTGGGCATGCGGAGAGCCATCAAAGAGGACAGGTGGACACATGACACAAAAAATGGCAGCATATCTACGGAGTGAATGATGGAGAATGGGGCGAAGAATTCGTCCGGTCATTCGTTCTTGCTCCCGTTCGTCCATGCGTTCATCTGTATGACCATCCATACGTCCATCCGCCCGTCCGTGCGTGCGTCTGTTCGTGACTCCGTCCCAGCGTTCGTCCATGCATCCGCCCCAGCGTCTATTCATGCGTCCATCCATGCATTTGTCTGTGTGTCCGTTCGTCCATCTATT